CCATGCTGTGGCAGGCACCCCACATACAAAAAATAGAGCAAGACTGGCACAGATGTTAGCTCAGGGACAATCTTCCTCACCAAAAAAAAAAAAAAAGGCCCAAAGCCCCCCTCTGGGTGCACTATAAAGAAGAAGTTAAGGCAACTACGTTCCACCCCCACAGTAAAGGAGAGGATCCTCAAAGAATCAAACAGACTTAACACTGAGTAAGGAGGGAAGCAGGCTGGGTCCCTCAGTTCTCTGACAAGAACAACTACAAAATAACAAAAGATAGGGCCAGCCCCGGTGGCCTACTGGTTAAGTTCTGCGCCCTCTGCTTCGGTGGCCGAGGTTCAGTTCCCAGGCGTGGACCTACACCACTCAACTGTCAGTGGCCATGCTATGGCAGTGGCTCACATACAAAAAGAGGAAGACTGGCAGCAGACGTTAGCTTAGGGCAAATCTTCCACAGCAAAAAAATAAATAAATAAAATAACAAAAGATAAACAAGGAAGTAAATAAGTAAGCAAAAGACAGGGGAGTCCATCAACCTGGGATAGGAGCCCAGATGAAGCATATACATACACACATACATACTTGGGATTCTTTGGCATTATCATATGTAGAAAGTTACCAAGCAAATAATCAATTGCACTAATTAAGGTGACTTGCAGTTTTCTCCTTATGCAAATTAATGAAAAAGATTTAAAACTCATCTAGAAAGATGCTTCTTGGCTCCACAATCCTTCCTAACAGAAACAGTTTAAACAATAATCATGGAACAAAAGTAACAGCCAAGCATTGTACATTTTTACATTTGGTTTGTACAAACATTAATGGGCCCCATTCATTCCTTCATCAAGTACCTTCTCAAACAAGATCTACTTTTGTAAGGTTAGTGATGGGCATTTAGACTTGAAAGTCAGACTGCCAAAGCTGGAAGCCCTGGCTCAGCCTTTAACATAACCTTGGGCACATTTCTTCCTTTCTGTGTTTCATTCATAAAATGTTAACAGTAACAACTCCTACCTCCATGTCCCATCTTAGTTGTGTAACTAAATGAAATAATGTGTGCAATGTGCCAAGTCGTTTCTGGACTTATTAAGCACTTAACAAAAGCTGTGGAGATGTGCTCTCCACCCTCAAACTAGGTTTGGTTCATTTCACATCACAAAACAGTTTCTAGGAATCACCTAGACACTTTCCTAAAATTTGAAAATGACTTGATAAATACAGTACGCCAAAGGAGTTCCAGTGCCTTCTTCTCTGGGACGCCATCCCTGGCGCTCCTCAAACGAAATTTTTTCCGTTTCTTCATATACCCTCGCAGGAACCTAAAGCACACTGCACTCGCCGGCCGGCCAAGCCCTGCCCTACCAGGGCACGGGAAGAAGGTACCTGGATACCCTGCCCTCCAAGCAGCCTTGAGTTGCTGCGGCTGCTCAGCTGTCACTCAGGATGGGGATGGGACAGGAAGGACGGGAAGGACAAGCCTCCACCCGAGACGAAAACAGACAAAAGGACCCGCCCATCCTCCGCGAAAGAGGACGCGTAGGAAAGACACGAGCGCAGTAGGCTCCCAGCCGCTCCCCCACGTTCATCCTCTGGCCTGCCGCGACCTACAAAACGCCAGGTGAACATCACGTGTGACGCACACTCACTTTCCCACGTCCCGTCCCTGCCCCCTCCTGGCCGGCCGCGGCAGACGCGCACACGCAGCTCCGCTTCCGGGCGCCGCTCCTCGCTACCCACAATGCTCTGCGGCAGCGACCTGTCGCAAAGGCCGCGTTTGGGCGGCGAGTGAGCGACTAGCTTTCCGTGCGGTGCGGGGTGACGGCGGCCCGCGTCTTCCTCCTCCTGCCGCGGGGTCGGATCGCCTGACGGTGTCCAGCTGCGCTTAAGTCTGGCAGGTGCCACCTGTCTCCGCAATGCCCCCGAAGAAACAGGCTCAGGCCGGGGGCAGCAAAAAGGCGGAGCAGAAAAAGAAGGAAAAGATTATCGAAGTGAGTAGCCGCCCCCTCCCCCACTCACGCCGCGAGCCCTTAGGGGAGCAGCCTCCCGGTTCCGCGGTTCCTGCTCGCGTTTTCCGGGGCCACGTGTCTCTCCCTTTGGCTCTGGGTGGCCCACTGCCCCTTCTCCAGTCCCCTGATGATGCTCGCTGCCACTCATCGCTACAGTGACGCTGCTGGCGCCCCCGCACCCAGCCTTTGCTTCTCCGCCCGCACGCCCGCTTTCACCGACCACCCGGTGCCCGCCACAGGGTTCTGTCCTCCGTTAGTCCTCAAAATTGAAGACGTTTCTAGGCTTGTGTTTAAGAAAACGCTGCACGGGCTCAGGCCAGACTCTCTGGAAGGCCTGCTTATGACGAACCTTTGTGTTGCTTTTTTTTTTTTTTTTTACCCCATCACCTGGGAGTAGTAGTTACTTCTTTCAAGCCAACATATTACTGCTTCTTGGCTTTTTCGATCCATCTCTAAACTGTTTCAAGTTCCGTAAAGAGTGCAGGTTTCTTGCAGGTTGCAGCCCACCGTCTTGTACAAAGCGCTTGATACGTATATTCTGAATTAATAACGCTTTAAGAGAGATTAGATTTCGGTGCCGCTACCTGTGTTAATTGCCGTGTCCGAATCTGTTATATATATATGTGTTTCTGTGTGTCTTTATACGTATGTACATACGTTTAGTGTTTGAGCCTGTAACCCTTTAATGGCCGAGAAACGCTATTGACGTTCTTAAATGTTTTATATTTGTCTTCCAACGAGTGTCAATGAGTTTCTTTAAGAGAGTGATCCATATCTGAGAATACATAAATGTATCGTATAGCCCCCAATGATATATTTCTTCCCTCGATTCCTGCTATTAATCCTTCTCATAATTAAATAGTTTTTCGTGTGCTCTGGATGTAATTGGAAAAAGCCATGACCATTTTCCTGCAAAAGGTATATCTGAATAATGGACAGTCTTTTGCGGAATAGTTACTTTTCATTAGAACGGGACCAGAATGCCTGTTGGGTGTTTTGAAATGAGATGTATGTTTATAAATTATTATTGTTTTTAATATTTGGTATTTATAGCCTTGAAAAATAGCAATGAAAGCCCTCAGGGCTTCGTTGTATAAAGCTAATCCGATCTTGTCTTTGTCAGTTTTCACGTAATTTTTAAAGTTGCTGATTTGACTTAACTAACATGCTTATGAAGAATTCTAGTAGCCTTGGCCAAGTTCCAACTCTGAAGCAGAACCTGTATTCTTTTTTTTTTTTATAATTTTTTTAATAATTTTATTTATTTATTTTTTCCCCCAAAGCCCCAGTAGATAGTTGTATGTCATAGCTGCACATCCTTCTAGTTGCTGCATGTGGGACGTGGCCTCAGCATGGCTGGAGAAGCGGTGCGTCGGCGCGTGCCCAGGATCGAACCGGGGCCGCCAGCATCGGAGCGCACGCACTTAACCACTAAGCCACGGGGCCGGCCAGAACCTGTATTCTTAGTGCCAATTTGCACTGGTTAGAACTGTCATGAAGTAGCATAGCTAGAAATTTAAAAACAGAATGATTGTTGTCTTCACACTTGTGTCTGCTGTCACCTTTTTGAACAGTCTGGACTCTTGGCACTTGGGTAGATCCCTGGGGATGGTAATCTGATGGCATTCAGTGCTGTGTAAACCAAGGGCATTTTAGGGATGACATTTTACTTGTCAGTTTCCTTTACTGACAGTGAATTAATGTGGTAGACCTGATGCAAAGTAAAACTCTGATATATATGTGAAATTAAATGTTATATGACAATTTAAAGTACAGTTTATGCATTATTGAGCTTTAACTGTATGCAATTGTTTTATTTTTAATTAGTAGGACTGATATTTTAGTTTTAGTGAATTGTACTTGCAAGTTATTTATGACTTGGTATATAATGATAGGTATATTATGGCTCCATTCATCTTGTTACAAGGTAATTTTTAAGATAAAAAGAAAGCAATTTTAGTTTCTTTAATGAAGACTTTGCCAAAGAAAAATGCAAAATAAGACAACTGCATTCTTTAACTGAGAAAAAATGTCCTAACAGAGTGGTGAAATTAAGCCTGTTTTTTCCCCTCACATTTAACATATATGGTGTGTGCTTTTTTTTTTAATGGTGGTAAGGTTTTGCAGCCTCAAGTGTGCTGCATGGATACTTGGTACCACTGGAGAGGTACAACAATATTGTGAATTACGGTGTTATATCGTTTCTTCTGAAACTAGATTTATAGAGAATATTCTGTTATCCAGCCTGGTTAGGAAACAGTGTATTCCACTTTATTCAATACTATAGGTGACTTTTTGTTTTTTTAATCCTCCTAAAGCCATAGCATGTCTCAGTGGCTATTGCAAGGAGTTAAGGAGAGGTACAGCAGGCTTAGCTCCCAGCTCCTGAGTCAAGTTTGATCCAGAACAGCACTTTCATCAATTTTTGTATAAATTTGTACAATTTCAGTTACTAGAAAGGATTTTTTTACCAAAGCATTTAAAAGCCATAGTTAAATATATTTTATGACAAACTCACAATGAATGTAATTGAATCATGGTTCATACTGGTTACTGATCTCTATGACACACAATTTTTGTAGGAAAATATTTCTTTATAATCTATTTTTACATGTAAAGACTAATATTTATTTCAGAGTCTGGTTAATTTTGGAAGGTTTAATAGAAATATGACCTGAAATTGCAAGTTGGTCAAAAATTGATAGTTAAGTAGAATATATACTTTTAAGCAGCACTTTTGGACAAGCTAAAATAAGGGATTGCCCTACCTACCTGTCCCCTCTTCTGTACCTCTGTTGCTCACACTGCCACCACCATAGGCACTTACTATAGGAAAACAACAGTAACATGTAGCTTTTGAGAACTCTAAGGAAAGGGAGTAAAAAGAGGCATGAGAGGCTGTCTAATTTAATGAAAGAAGCACCAGCTTTGGGGTCAGATGGACCTGAGTTTGCATCCCATGTTTCAAATTAAAATTTCGAAATGTAGTTTTAGGCAAGTTACAGAACCTACCTGAACCACAGTTTCTCATCAGCAAAATGGAGCCAATTCCTATATTACAGAGCTGTGGGTTAAATGAGATAACATATAAAATTCTTGACACATATATTCAATAAATGGTAGCTGTTATTAATATTCTAAGTAAGAACTAGTTAGGAAAAATAATCTAACTGAACTGCACTGTCTATACAGTGCTTACTTTCTACTTGAAATAATTTCATTATATTGCCTGCATTTTTTTCTTTCCCTCTTTGAACTCCCCAAAATGTCATGAATTCATTTGCATTAAGTATTTTCTTTCTAAAGTGAGTATATCAAAAAGGGTTATAATTCTATTAGACACAAATGTCCCAAATGGCATATACTATTTGCTTTCTTATAGCTAAAATTTAATAAACTGAAATCAGTTTTGAGAAATAGAAAGTTTGATTATGGAAAGGGGGAAATAATCTTTGGGTTTAGGGCAAGCAAATAAAGGATGTCTTGCTAAGACTTGTAGCAGCAAGGAAGTAGTAATAGAGACGGGATCTGGGTGTGTAAAGGATGGAGCCAGAGAAATGATTGATTGCCAATGAAAAACTTCAGCCAAGGTCAGGTGTTGATTACTTGAAGCTGCATTAACCAGCTGAAGAATATCCATTGCATGGATGGACAACAAAAATATATTAGACAGTGCATGTGAGGGGAAAGTGATGAGGTACAACAGTGCCAACCTCTGTTTACCCTAGTGTCCCAAAAGATAGACCCTGGTTATCTTGGAGCACTATTGATTATTGACCTGTCCCCTCTCCTCCTTCCTTTTTTCAGACATCTTATTTAAGGAGTGGAGGCTGGCCTATAAAAAAAGCATGATTTCTTAAGGGTGGCAGGGGGAGAAAGGATCTCTTAAGGGTGGCAGGGGGAGAAAGGATCAGTTTTAAGTGATGTCTGGAATTCACTGAGTGCACGGCACTTGGAGCCTCAGGGAGCCATCCTTTTCTTAGAGTTACTGCCTGTTTTCTAAACTCCTTTGGTATTCAGTTTCCCAAGTCTGAAACACACACACACACACAGTTCCTTTCTTATAACCTAACCTTATTAATCCAATTAGGGTCAGTATTTCCCTAGTTTTATTTTTAACCACGATTTGGGGTTGATTATAGCCTCCAGTCTTCCTGCCTCATAACCCCCCCACCCCGAAATCCAGGTCAATTTTTAGGTAAGGGTCTATCTTAAATTCCAGAAAAAGGGAAGAAGACCTTTTTGAAGTATTCCAAATTGCAAACCATCCTATTTTCAAGAGGCACTGTTGGTATCCCAGATCCACAATGTGGTATTCAGAAAGCTTTTTGTGTACCAGCTGGCCCAATAACCTGACTAGATTTCTCTCGGAAGTAGTTTTTCATGGTGGAAAGAATAAGGACTTTCCTTGGAGTCAAATATACTTGGTACAAGTATTATCTCTGTCACTTAATAGTTAGCACTTACTGGGCCAGACACAGTTCTCAGTGTTTGGGGAAATGATAAATTTACACAGCTCCTTTAATTCTCTCAGTGAGATAACTATTATTACCCTTTTGACAATTGAGGAAAGAGGCACAGTGGTTAAATAACTTGCTCAAGATTACTAAACTGGCAAGTGGCAGAGCCAGAATTCAAACCCAGAAAGCCTGGCTCCAAAGTCTTTGCTATTAACCACTGTCTCTCTGTAGTAAATCTTTTAACTTTCACAACAACCCTAAGAGGTTAGAGTGAATCCCAGTTTACAAATAAGAAAACTGTGGCAAAGAAGGTAATTTTCCCAGTTCTGTTGGGGATTACAATTTGAGCAGTCTGACTCCAGAGCTTATATTCTTAAATTTTTACACTTTATTAGCAATGTTACTTCAAAAGAATTGTTGAACATTTCTTGGTTTCTATATCCACATTTACAGAGTGAGATAATAGTATATTATAGGATTGTTAAGAGGATTCAATAAAGTATATAGTTAGAAGTTTGTGTTTAGTGAATGCTAGATAAATAAGTATCCCCATCTCTGTGGAAAAAATAATTTCTGAGCTTTAACCTAATTAGAGACTTGCAAAACATAACTCATTCATTATCTCTTTAGACTGGGTAGTTATGTGCTAAAGCAGTGTAATTAAACCTGAAAAACTGTTTTTCTTCTGGGATCTGGAGCTTATACACCTTTATCAGAAGCTGTTGTCATGAGTACTTTTTTTCTAGCTGGCCAGGTTCTCTTAGAGGACCTTTCTCTTTCCTGAGTCTTCATATATCAGTATCTACCTTGCTATTTGGCCTTGTTTATTCATAGGTTGCTTCTTCTCTATGGTTCCATAGGGGGCATACTCGTCTCTGGCGAGGCATATGTAGATGCTGTTGCACTTTGATCCTAATAATATTTTTTGTCTAGAGTTTTCCATCCCTCCCGTGAAAGCTCACATTTTGTAAAAGGAAAGTACAGTTGGCCCTCCATGTCCGCAGGTCGAAAGGCCTGTAAAGGCCTGTGATGGTTGCATCTGCACTGAACCTGTACATTTTTTTCTTCTCATTATTCCCTAAACAATACAGTATAACAACTATTTACATATCATTTACATTGTATTAGGTGTTATAAGTAATCTAGAGATGATTTAAAGTATACGGGAGGATGTCTGTAGGTTATATGCAAATAGTATGCCATTTTATGTAAGGGACTTGAGCATTCATGGATTTTGATTTTGGTGTCTGCAGGAGTCCTGGAACCATCCCCTGAGGATACCAAGGGACGACTGTATAGCATTTCACACCTGGTTGCTACATATGATCATTTCTCTCCATATGTCACATTTCCCTTGACCCTCTTTTTTCCTAATTGGATTGAGTGTTAGACTCTCTTCTCTTTAAAAACGAGGGAAGCCAACCATAAAAAAACTCAGTGCAGAGAATTTCAGCTTGTATGTGCCTCTTACTACCTTTTTTTAATATGCATAAGCTATAGAAACTTCATGTAGAATTTTTTAATATGATGGGATATTAAAATGTGAGATAGGCATTTAAGTAGGAGAAAGTGAAGTTTTGGTATATGGATGGATATAGATGCAGTGAATAAAGAGATAGTTCCCAATGAGAAATAATCTTTTAGAACTAAACTTTCTTGAACCTTGCAATCTTAAGAACATTGAAAGTTCTATTTTATTGGTTTGAGATACTGTAAAATTATGTTGTGTTAGATGTTTTCGAATACACATCCTATCAATACTGTTTTCCATTTCCACATAGGTATATAAGTATTCTGTACCTATAATATTCTTCCCATTACTTTGTCCCTTCCCTTAGAAATAGTACCAAAACAAAGACTTTAAAATGGCCACTTATTTCAGACTAAATGCCTCTCAGAGGGTCTCAGGCGACTTTAGAAAGTTGTGTAAATTAGGAGACATCTATAATGTTGAACTTCAATAAATGAAGATTGATAGTGGCTGGATGACTTGGTAACTGGCTTAGTAGAGCAAAGCAGTCAGGCCTGAGTTGCCCCAAGGAGTCTGCTATTAAGAAGCAAGTCGATTTGCTCTGCAAAATTCTGGAAAAGCTCAAATATGGGAGGCACTAGTGCAGAAGGAGAGGTAGTGCAGAAGGAGAGAGGCTGAAAACTGGGGGCTTAACAGTGTAGAAGTAGCTGATAGTTCTTATCTACTACCACTCAGCCAGATGATTACCCCTGCAAAAAACAGGAGGGGGGAAGAATAAATCAAGAGGCGTCTCTACTTTTGGAACTCTATGCACAAAGGAGGTGGGAAGGCGGTTAAAATGCGTGCCTGAAAATGGCCATTAAGGAGCCTGTGCAGTAACTAAGGAGCACCCTCTTCCAACTGCTCTCTTCTCGAGTCCTTTAGCCAGGCTTATTGCTCTCCCAGCTAAAGGATCCTTCTCCAGAGAAACAGAAAAGACAGAAAGAAAAACTTCATACACCAGTATTTGGTGCTTTCCTGACAGCTTTCCCACCCATTCACCTTAGGGTGAAGCCCACTAGTCAAGCCTCCTGTATTAATATTCTAGGGATGCCGTAGCAAATTACGACAAACTGGGTGACTTAAAACAACAGACATTTATTCTCTCACAGGTGTGGAGGCTAGAAGTCTGAAATCAAGGTATTTAGGTGGGGCCATGCTCCCTCTAAAGGCTCTAGGGAAGAATCCTTCCGTGCCTCTTCCTGCTTTCTGGTGGCTTCCAGCAGTCTTTGGCATTCCTTGGCTTCGTAGCTGCATCACTCTAATCTCTGCCTGTTTCTTCACGTTGCCTTCTCTGTGTCTGTGTGTCCTTTCGTCTCTTCTTATAAAGATACCAGTCATTGGATTTAGGGCCTACCCTAATCCGACGTGACCTCATCATAACTTATTACATCTGCAAAGATCTGTTTCCAAATAAAGTCACATTCTGAGTTTCCAAGTAGACATGAATTTTGGGGGCATGCTAGTCAACCCACTACGGACCCCCCTCACACATACACACACACGTGCAAAAAACCAGTCCAGAACTTAATGTATCTTCTTACGCAGTATTCCCCAGAATGTGTTCAATAGTACGTAATCCCTCAGGATACCCCAAGGAAAATGTGTTCTGAGGTAAGATAAGATTTGGAATTGTTGCATACTGTATCCCCTCTGGTCAAGGCTCTAGGATATCTGGAGCTTAAGAATAAAAAGCCCTGTTAACCAAGCGTTTTCCCAAACTTATTTAGCTATGGGACTTCTTATCCTAGTATAACAACTCTGCATATCCTGTAGAACTGATGTTTCAAAATACACTTTGGAAAAAAGCATCATAGAGTAACAGGTTTAATGATGATAGTTGTATGTATTGAATTGTAAAGAGTCCTGAGTGATGTTTTGGGGTTATTTGTTGCCTTGACTTGATGTTTAGTGTATAGATGGCTAGATGCATGCTGTATAGCATAAGAAAGAATGATTTTTAGATATTTTAAAAAAAATAGGTGAGAAATTAAGTTAGTAATATATTTCTATACTCTTTCTCCTTTAGGACAAAACTTTTGGTCTAAAGAATAAGAAAGGAGCAAAGCAACAGAAGTTTATCAAGGCTGTCACTCATCAAGTCAAATTTGGTCAACAAAATCCACGTCAGGTAAGTAACTTAAATTTCTGCATTTTCTTCATATGGATGTAATACAGCATCTGTTAACAGATAAAAATATTTGGTATTATAATTGTATTTCAAAATGGAATCCTACTCTGTAACTTTTCTGCATCTTGCCATGGTTACTCAGCAGTACCTCTTAGATGTTCCTCCAAGCCATTTTATATAGCTCTAGTTTATTCTAATGGCTGCATACTGTTCTATAATGTCGAGGTACTGTATACCTCCATTTCACTATTTGTAAATGATTACTTTGTTTCCAGCTTTCTAACACTAAGAACATTTCTACAAAAAATATCCTTGTACATATGTTCTTACATGTGTTTGTGCTTTTATTTCTGTGGCATAAATTATCTGGTGTCACATTTCTAGATCAAGGGAAATGGATTTCTGATTTTAATAAATTTGCCCAGTCATTTTCCCAAGAGATTGTAATACTTCACATTTTCATTTGCAGTGCATGAGTTATAGATACTAAAGTTCTGTTTAATGTTCTTCCATCTGATAAGTATTAAGTAATACCTCATTTTTATTTTGTTTCCCTTACTACTAGTGACTTTGAGTATCTTTTCATATGCTTGTTGGCTGTTTGGGTTTGTTCTTCTCTGACTTGCCTATTCAAATCCTTTGCTTTTTTGGTTATTTGTCTTTTTATTGTCAGCTTGTGAAAGACACCTTTTGTCTGCATTACAGATAATTTGTGATGTTTCTGTTATACTTTGCTGTACAACAATATTTAGTTTTTGTCGTGTCAGATATATCTGGCTTTTCTTTTATGTGGTTAACAGGTATCCCCTGCCACTAGACTATGCATGTTTTTCCTAGATTTTTTTTCTAATTATTTCATTTTCAGTCATTAATTTGTCATATAAATTTATTTTATATGTCACTAAGTTTATTTTCTTGCAAGTGAATAACCACTTATACCAGCATTGTTTTATCCTACTGAATTGAAATACCACTATTGACATATATTAAAGTCCCAAATATGTTAAGATCTATTTCTGGATTCTCTTTTCTATTCTATTTATTGTCCGTCCCTAGACCAGTATCACATTGATCTTGGTTATAGTGGCCTAGTAACATGTTCTGTTAGCTACTAAGGCAAGTCCTTTCCCTGAAATGTTACTCTTTTGCTGTTTTTCTTGGCTGTTCTTAGGCATTTATTCTTCCATATGAATTTTGAAATTATTTTATCCATTGGCAAGTCATCCCAAAAAAATCAGCCCCATTTTCTTCAGGTTCTATAGATCTTTCACTTTCTTAAGTTTAAGATTTTATAGACATGGATAAAAGTACTTTAAAAAGTACTTTTTTCACCACCTTATCTGCTTTTCCTTAACTTTTGGAAACTTTTTTTCCATCTGATATTATCAGAAATATTATATATTCGTGAGATAGTTAACCCCTATCTGAAAGAAATTTCTCTCACTCATGCTGTCTGCAAATTAGAGCTTCCAGCACTTTCTTTTTCTTAGACGCAGCTTGATTCTAGAGCCAAAAACTATTCATCTTCCATGCTGCTAACTTAGTAGCCTGGTTTAATAAAAATGCACGCTCAGGCCTTGCAGTCAGATCAACTTAGGTATGAGTCCCCCTATCTTATTTGTTGCATGATCCTAAATTATTTAGCAACACTGGTCTTTATCTGTATAGTGGAAGGGCAGTTAACCCTTGTGGGGTTCCTATGGTGATTAAATGAGAAGATAATGTAATCTTCTGGGGTAATACAAGGTGTGTAAGAAGAATTCACGTTCTTCCATTATCTCCTTTTCCAATCCTCTACCTCCTCCCTTTACTTTTTCTTCTAGTGGGAAGTATATTGACTGGTAGTTTCAGATTTTATAGACTTAAGAAAGCCATAAGATTTGTGGTGGTAGTTAGGTTTGACAGTATATTCAGTATTATATTTTTGATAATTCCTTGGGTACCTGGGCTTTTATCTGCGAACATGAGGTGCCTAACCACCATACTTAACATTGGAAATGAGCAGCAGTCCTACTGTTAGATCTGGGCAAGAGGTGCCCCACCCTAGGCCTTGTGCTGTGGAGGGCGACCCTACTCTGTTTTCTCCTCCAGACATAGCTCTCCCCACAGGCAAGGAGTCAGTGAGGCCAAGGGGATGTGCCCACCCAGAGTGTGCACCACCCCGCCACTCAACAGCTCAGGCCCTGCAAAAGTCATGTTTCCCCATGTCCATGTTAGGGTATACTGCGCTGCCAATATGCCTGAAGTAGTCAAAGGGAGGATGTATGCTAGGAGTGTGGACAGAGCCTGGATCCATATTGTGTCCTCCCCCGCACCTTCCACTTCCTTGCACACACATGGTGGGATGAAACTCAGGGTGGGAAGAGGAGGAGTCAGGATTGACTCTTGCTTTACTGCCTTGCTCCAGAGTGGAACTCCATGGAACTTGAGCATTTTAAATTTGAACCTGTCCTTCCAGATCATAAGGTGTATTTGTCAAGTAGAGATACAAGCCATATTTTATTTAACATTAATTTGATTTCTAACTTATAAACATTTATAAAAATGATTTGTGGGCCTCCATTGTACTCTTGCTCTGGGCCCCACACATGTATGAGTCAGGCCTAATGAGCAAAGGATACTTTTATTAAAAATAAAGTGACTTAAGTTTTTTCTTTTTAAAAATTTTTTCTCATTTTTCTGTTTAAACATATCCACCACATGATCAGAGCCAGGATTTGGAATGTCTTTAACCTTAACATAGCATTGGGCTATTCCCTTCCTAAAATTGCCTCTTCCTTGAATACTTTTTTGTCCTAGATTTCTATCTATTTGTTTGATGTTTCTTGGTCCCTTTAGTGGGCTTTTTAGATTCTGTTGGCTCCTTTCATTTTGGTATTCTTCAGAGGACTGTGCTCTGCTCTTGTCACAACCTTTTTTTGCTGTTCTTGAGTAATCACATATATACCCGAAGTTTTAATCAATTATAATCTGTAAGCTGCTATTTCTAAAATCTTTATCTCCAAACAGACCCTCTCGGGCCGGCCTGGTGGTATAGCGGTTAAGTTCGTGTTCTCCGCTTTGGCGGCCTGGGGTTTGCAGGTTTGGATCCCGGGCGCAGACCTACGTACTGATTATCAAGCCATGCTGTGGCGGTGTCCCATATAAAGTAGAGGAAGATGGGCACGGATGTTAACCCAGGGCTAATCTTCTTCAGCAAAAAAGAGGAGGATTGGCAACAGATGTTAGCTCAGGGATAACCTTCCTCAAAAAAGAGAAACAGACTCTCTCTCTAGGAATCAAGATCCATGTCCAGCTGCCTTCTAAGTAGCTCCACCCAGATGCTCTGTAAAGCATCTTGTACTCAGTACAGTCGTGCACCACATAACGATGTTTCAGTCATTGACAGACCGCATATACAATGGTGATCCCACAAGATTAGTACCATATAGCCCAAGTGTGTAGTAGGCTGTACCATCTAGGTTTGTGTAAGTACACTCTATGATGTTTGCACAACGATGAAATCTTCTAGCAGCACATTTCTCAGAACATATTCCCATCGCTAAGCAACACATGACTGTATGTCTAAAATTGAGCTCATCTCCACCTCCTACCCTGAAACCTGTTCCTCCTGTATTCCCTGTCTTGTTTAACAGCACTAACCATACATATGATAGTCCTAGATTGTTCCCTCTCCCTTATACTTCATGCCCAGTCAGTCACAATTCTATCTCCTTAACAGCTCTCTCTCCCCTTTTCTCCATCCTTGCTACTAATACGTCTTTTAAGCTTTTGTATTTTCTTGCCTGCAGCAATGGCATTAGCCTCCTAATTTTCCTTGCCTTCATTCTTGGGCTCCTACTAGTCCACCCTTTACAAAGTTGCCGTCGTGATCTTTGTAGAGTACAATCTGATTGTGTCCCAGGCTTATTTTAAACCCTTGAGTCTTATCCTGTCACCTACTGATACATACCAAACTTCTCGTTGGTGTTTTTCATACCTTTTTCCTTTTGGTCCCTGTATCTTTGCGGTGGCTGGCTCTCTCTGCATTCCTTTTCTTGCCCGTCAGAAGGATTCATCCATAAAGTATTAATTAGCTCAGTCAAATTTTCTTAGGCATATAGGCATTCCTTGTTCCCAGAGCACCATGTATTATATTATAGTTGTTGACATGTCTGTCTTCCCACTAGATTCTGAGTTTCTTTAAATAAGCATCTTTGTCTTTTCATCTTTGTATTCCCTGTCATCTAACATAGGACCTGACATATAAATGTTTGGATGAATCCTCTAATCATATTAGGTATGTAAATCATATGCTTGGAACTATGTCATATGTCATGTTTGTTTTGTTTTGTTGTATTGCTTAATCTCCCACATTCACCTAGCCCAGTGTTTTTCCACAAGGGTACTGTAGGTATTTTGGGTGGTACAGTTCTTTATTGTGTGGGACTGCACATTTCAGGATGTTTGCATCTCTGACCTTCAGAACACACCCACGTGTTTCTGGGGAGTAGGTTGTTGTCACAAGAAGAAAATCCCAGGTGAGAACCATTTGCTAAAAACGCTGGGCATGTAGCAAGTGCTTGATAAATGCTTCTCACTGTATGCTTTTGAATATACTTTTAACTTGGCGTGGTACCATTTATAGATTTTTTTAAAAAATCAGCTGCTACAAGATTTAGCAATTCTGTTTAATAGTTTAACCACACCATTTATTATATACTGAAAGGCGATTGTACCACTGATATTAAGAGGTAAGGACTATATACATGTAAATATGCAGATATCTTTGTTATGTTAGTGATATTATATATATTACTATATAGTGAAAACTATTATGTGACATCAAATTTACGTATTATACCTGGGAATATTATAGGTAGCACAAAGTGAAGCTGAAAAGAAATTGAAGAAAGATGATAAGAAGAAAGAATTGCAAGAGCTAAATGAACTGTTCAAACCTGTAGTTGCTGCTCAAAAAATAAGTAAAGGTAAACTTTAAATTTCAAAAGTGTTGTTTTTATCAAATGTTATTCATGTTTAAAAACTCTTAATTTGTTTCAATGTATATCTTCTTCAGATTATAAGCCAACTGTGTCTGCTATGAAAATGATACTCCCTTTGTCAAAATTATCTATATTAACGACTTTTCTTATGGTCCCTCTGTATATGTGCACAGCTATGTCATTGTACACCTGTAACTCCAGCCATTAGCCCCCCACTTAAGGTAAAATTAAGAATTTAGCCTACTAGTTGATTATAATAACCAATCTTTGGTGGTAGCCAAGGCAGACCTATGGTTGTATAAACTGTATGTCTGAAACTCTTGGCACTGTACCTCTGTTTGTGTTTCTCTTTTGCCTCCTGCCTCATTTACTCCAGCTAGACAAGAAACTGTGGAATAACCTATGTGTTTGTTTGATTTCCCACCCCCGCCCCCTTTTTGGGTAAGAATAAAAGAAACAAAAATAGATATAAAGTGCTATAGAAAGAACTTAAAGAAATGTCTTACTAATCACCTATAAGTGGTATTTTCCTCTCATGTTAGTGAATGGAAAATAACAAATTAACCAAAAGTGATTACATCTCAGATAGAAGCTATACTTTATGATCTGGCAGATTGTAATATGAATACCAAATGCCATTTAACATAGGTGCAGATCCCAAATCTGTGGTATGTGCATTCTTCAAGCAAGGACAGTGTACTAAAGGAGACAAGTGTAAGTTCTCTCATGACTTGACTCTGGAGAGAAAGTGTGAAAAGCGAAGCGTTTACATTGATGCAAGAGATGAGGAACTTGAAAAAGGTATCTTTTTAAAAGTAAATATCTACTACTTTTGGTGTGTGGTTATGAAGATATTTAGTAGCTTGAAGAATATTTCAATCTTAGTAGGACAAACCTTAGTAGTTTGTAAAGAATAATTGTTATTTTTCATAAAATGTGAACTTAACCACGTTATGCCCTTTAATTCAGTAAATGAAGATGTTTTAAAACCAGTGACTTATTTCAGATTTCTCTCTCATCCATTCTTCCAGTATTACCCTTCTTTTTTTTGTTTGTTTTTGTTTTGTTTTTTGTTTTTTGTTTTTTGTGGCTGTTTTTTGGTGAGGAAGATTAGCCCTGAGCTAACATCGGTTGCCAGTCCTCCTCTTTTAGCTGAGGAAGATTGGCCCTGGACTAACATCTGTGACCATCTTCCTCTATTTTATATGTGGGATGCCTGCCACAGCATGGCTTGTTAAGCAGTGCATAGGTCCACACCCAGGATCCAAACCTGAGAACCCTGGGCCGCTGAAGCAGAGCATGTAAACTTAACCACTACACCACTGGGCCAGCTCCCAGTAGTGTTACCTTCTTATTTGCCTAAACTACTGAGGAATTTAGTGAATAATCTTATAACAATGTTTATCTCTACCTTTGATATATTAAAGAAAATGTGTTAGGTCATAAGTCTTATAATACAGCTTTCTTGTCTAAGGAGATATGCAATTTGTTTTGGGAACCGTAGAAAAAAATTACAGTATCTAGTCTTCATATCTCTTTTTATTTAGATACTATGGATAATTGGGATGAAAAAAAACTGGAGGAAGTAGTGAACAAGAAGCACGGTGAGGCGGAAAAGAAAAAACCAAAAACTCAAATAGTATGTCCTTTTCTTGAATTGAGTTGCTGTGATATTTATCATTAGGGAGAATTATGTGGCAAGGTATTTGCTGGTATTTTCTACTGGATTATTCTTTAAGTTATTGGATCTTTTTATAAAGATAAGGAACATCGAGCTTTGTTTTTGGAATTTAGGAGTGTAAGTGGTACAAAATTAGATTCTTGTTCAGAAGTAGCCTTTGAAAACCTGAAGTCCTTCAAAGGCTGTTTTCTGAAATGATCTTACTTTCTCAAATATGAACACAATCACATATTCAAATAAGAATTCTTTCCTTATTTTTTGTGCAAAATGAATCGAAGGAGAAGTGTGAAACTAACCCTCTTAATTTAAGAACTTATTCTATTTTAATGGTAGACTTTTTAAATCACAAAGGTGAAAATATTGTTACATATGAATTGCAAAATGAGTTTTTGGTAGATAAGGCCCTTAGTATTTCAGGAAATGTACTTTTAAAACTTGGTCCCTTATTTCTCAGACCCTGCATTCATGTCCACATATTTCTCTGTAGTGTAGTTACAGGGAAGAACCTTGCTATGCTAGAATAATTCTAAATACTAGTTTTACTTACATCTATTGTATTTTTTTCAGGAAAAGAATATTGTTTATTAGTTAATTTTTCTTTCTTATTTGCAAAGTTTATTACCTCAGGCTTCAATACAGTTGTATCTTGCACGCATTCATGTTTTGAATACATGTTTTGTATTTCTTTTGGACCTTGCTCCCTTTTTAGATGCAAGAAATTGTCTGTAATTTCAGGTAATTCAAATAGTGTTTATTATCATTACTGCGTGTGATTAGTTTTTATGAAAGATCCAACCAAAACAAAATCATTGGTTTTATTTTTTATAACCATTTATATTTTCTCTTATTTAAAAATCAGACTTTCAGATTACATTTACAAAGGTTAAACTGAAGCAAGTTCTTTTTGTATAATTCGGAATTTAGAACAATGTCGAAAATAGAAATTTTATATAGATCCTCTCTTAAGGGAATTTACCGTTGTATTAAGTATTTTAAGATTAATTTATGTGTGCATTTCTGTACAAACAGTGCTCTGTACATAAGTGGTTAGCCTCGGATGTGAATAAGAATGTACTGTTCAGTATACATAAGAATTTACTGTGGAAGTGAAGTACGCTGAGCTAGTACTTGTGAATAATATTTTCTCTGTAGGTGTGCAAGCATTTCCTTGAAGCTATTGAAAACAATAAATATGGCTGGTTTTGGGTATGCCCTGGAGGAGGTGATGTTTGCATGTATCGTCATGCACTTCCTCCTGGATTTGTATTGAAAAAAGATAAAAAGAAAGAAGAGAAAGAAGATGAAATTTCATTAGAAGATCTAATTGAAAGAGAGGTAACTAGTTATCTTTTTCCTGCCATAAAAAAAACTAAGCAGTATTTATTGTGAAATTCTAGTATTTACCACTTGGGGGCAATAGCATGTTGTTATGAAAGGAAAAATAAGACCTTTTCCCAAAGTTTCCTTACTCTTTAATTATTCTTGTATGTCTAAAGTGTAAACCTAGCCATAATCATAACATTAATTTTAGAATTGTGAAATAATTTTTAAGTACTAACCACTGGCTTATCAAATAAATTGTTTCCATAAGGTTGATATACTAGTATATCAGTTCATTAAAATGCTTAGTCAGTTTTCAGATTGAACTTGAAGTTTTAGATGTTTTCCCGGATATCTTATTTTTTCACAGTTTTACTAATCATTAACATATATGGAAGGAGACAACTCCGCTACAGTTTTTCAGTTATGTGTTGTATTATCATCCGTGGACTCAAAACAGTTGATCTGCTGATAGAGGGGAATGAGTCTCATTGAAGAGAATCTTCAGCTACTCAGTGCTGGCTTAGCACAAGAGTTTTATTCTATGAGTTAGCAAATAGGGTTGCTGAGTTAGCAGATATGGCTCTTGGGAGTGACACAAAAATGTTGAGATTATTGGAAATACTAGTTTTAGGATTATGTATTTCAAACTGTATGCATTTTGCCTTGTCTTGGATAATCTAAATGTAAATGTCTAATGGGATTATAAATATTCTTAAATGGACATATTGTTTGGTGTCTCAGACAGGAGGCAATATAGTATAATAGAAAATGTAGGCTTTGGAATCAGGTATATTTAGGATTATTTGTATCCTGGTTCTACCACATATTAGTTGTTAATCTTTGGTAAATTTTCCATCACCGTCTGTTTGCTTATTTGTGGAGATCGATGTGTTAGCATATGTGTGTAAAGCATTTAACACAGACTACCTGGCAGAAGTTCAGTACATATTTTTTCTATATGTTTATTACTTGATTATTGGCCCTAAGAAGCAGGTAGTGTTTTTTGCTTAGTTTTTTGCTCATCTCTTGAGGAACACAAATGAAACTTGGATATTGTCATGGTGCTTTTCATATTTACTGTTTTCAGCAATTGACTTAAGTTAAAACAATTTCTCATGATAAGTTTTACTCACCTTCAATTTTGAAAAGAAATCTAGCTCAGAATAATATATTTTATAATGTTTGTATCTCTGGACACTCATTTTGCTCATTGCCGTGTAAAATAAAAATAAATCAGTTTATTCTGCCTTTAATGTCTTTATAACAGTCATAGGCAAGGACTTAATTGCATTAAGAGAAAACTGTTAAATGCTATTATAGGTGACTGAGGAGGGAAGAGTTAACTCTTTTATCTTTACAGCGTTCTGCCCTAGGTCCAAATGTTACCAAAATCACTCTAGAATCTTTTCTTGCTTGGAAGAAAAGGAAAAGACAAGAAAAGATTGATAAACTTGAGCAAGATATGGAAAGAAGGAAAGCAGACTTCAAAGCAGGGAAAGCATTAGTGGTATGTCCCAAACTCACCCAAATAGATTCCTGTGTGCTTTCTTTCATTTTATAATTTCTGTGTCAAGCAAGATTTTATCCTTATTTAATCATGTGTATGTCTAAAATCTGTGACCAAAAAATGTTGAAATTTTCTTCTGAGTTTATATATTTGTGTATCTGAATAGATCAGTGGTCGTGAGGTGTTTGAATTTCGTCCTGAACTGGTTAATGATGATGATGAGGAAGCAGATGATACCCGTTACACCCAGGGAACAGGTGGTGATGAGGTAAGAGGAGGCTTTGGAACCTCATCTCCTCGTATTGATTGAGAGAAACAATAGAGTCACAACAGAGCAGCAAGGTTGAGAGTACCAACTCTGGGACCTCAATTCAAATCCTGACTGTAACCCAGGACATTACCTACACTCTAGGCCTCCACCCTCGTCCATAATACAGAGATAGTGATAATCCCTACATCACAGGGTACTTGTGAGAATTAAATTAGTTAATAATTTGTATTTATTTATAGTTCTTTATAGAACTTAGGTCAGTGCCTGGTATATAATTAAGTACTTATATATGTTAGCTGTAAAAAGTATGTGTTTTATTCTCCCTCTGAAAGAAAAAAGATTTTTTTGTTTAATATTTTATACTAAAAAAAAATCATAGGACAGAGACACTAAATAGTACAGAGTAGGGAGCAGGAGACAACAGCAGATAGCAATCATTTGGTTGTAGGCAAATTTAGTAATAGCGGATAGCTGACTCTTCATTTTTTGTTTGGTTATCATAAAATTCTGACTTCTTTGAGTTGAAAGATAAAAATATCATACTCTATATGTAAAAGTGTGATGTCAGAGGAAGAAACTTCAAATATACCATTGCTATTCTTTTTTCAAGAAGTTTAGAAAAAGAAGTAAATTTTGGCAATAGTCAATCATTTGTTTTCACTTGGCATCAGTAGTAATTTTGTTTCATTAAACGTCAAAAGTAAAAGGCAAGTAATTTATGAAAACTGTTTTTGTTAGTAACAACTTTCTTTTTTGTATGTTTTTAAAGGTTGATGATTCAGTGAGCGTAAATGACATAGATTTAAGCCTGTACATCCCAAGAGATGTAGATGAGACAGGTATTACTGTAGCCAGTCTTGAAAGATTCAGCACATATACTTCAGAAAAAGATGGTAAGTATGATAACTTTTGTGTAATTCTAGAACTAGGAAGCTGTCCAAAGGAGTTAGACCAGGCTTGGCAAACTTAGATGCCTGCACATACCACACTGGCAACATAAATGTGTAGTTTGGCTGTTTATAAAAGTAGTGAGTAGTGGAAGCTGTAGAAATGGGTGGCTGGGTGAATATTGAAGTCATTAACTGAAACTAGAAGGGGACGAAAAGGAGTTTGGGGACATAGCTACTGAATTCAGTTTGGGATCTCATGACTTTGAGATATTTTGGTTATCAAAAGTGGCATTGTCTAGGATACTGTGTAGACATTCGCAAGAGAAAAAGGTTTGAAAGTCATCTGCATTGGTAGCTGAGTGAATGAACTCACCCAGGCACAATACGTAGGATGAGAACATTCTAGAACACACTGCAAAACATCAGTGTTTTTAGTCAAAAGAGGAAAAGCTTGGGAAAGACACTGAGAAGGACAGAGAAAAATTAAGAAAGAAGAGTTTCAAAAAAATCAAGTAGGCTGAGAATTAGAAATAATTTTTTAGTTGCAGTTAGGAAAAGAGTTGTAGGTATAGGGTACCAGTTTTCCTTGGGACTGCAGTGATATGAAGAATGAGGAGAAAAATGAGTACAGACCACTCAGTCTTATGACCTTTGAGGGGGAGAAACGGTCATAGGAAGGGCTTTTTAGGATATGGGAAATCTAAATATATCTGTAGGCTAGAATAAAAGGATCTGGGAGAGGAGCAAAAATTGAAGATGAAAGGATATTAGTTATAGAAGCAAGATCTGGAAGTATAAATAATGAGTTCAGTTAAGAGTGAGAATGGAGGGAGGGCTGGCTGGTTGTATTTGGGAAATAAGGGTCGTTGATATAGTTATATCTAATTGTGCCTTGAGTGAGGAATTTGAACAGAGAAGTAAAAGTTTGGCTTGGTTGCCGTGAGAAGAAAAGGTAGAAAGTGCACTAATCAAGGCAAAAGTTGAGAGAGAAAAAGCTACACCTTATTTTTACAATAAAGGAATACAAGTTATAACTTGAAAAACTGGCCTGCCCTCCTGAGATCTGAGAATGCTCAGACTTTTATCTTAACGCCAATCTGCAGACTAATTTACTCCTTTTCAAAGTAGGGCTTTGGTGACAGTAGGCATAACTAAGTACTTCAGAGGTTGTAATCCCCAAGACTTGTCATCAGAAATGTTTGAAATAGCAAAAATCTAAATTAGGCTTTTAAAAATTGTCTTTGTGGACAGACACCGCATGATTTCACTCATATGTGGAAGATAAACTATAACACACGGACAGAGAGAACAGTTTGTTGGTTACCGCGGGAAGGAGTTTGGGAGGTGGGCACAAGGGGTGAAGGGATACATTTATATGGTGACTGACAAACAATAATGTACAACTAAAATTTCACAATGTTATAAACTATTATGACAAAGAAAATTGTGTAAATATCGGTGTCATTGAACAAGGAAAGGCAGCGTTTTATTTCCTCAGTAGCTTATATCCTGTAAGGAAAAGTAGCTGCGTAGCCCTAGGTTCTTTTTTCACAATTTGATGACAAGATGAAATGTTTCTGGGTTGACGCTCATTTACAGCATTACGACTGTGTGATTTAACTACTATTTGCAAAACCAAAAGCTGAGTAGCTGCTTAATCATAAGCATTTTTAGATTCCCTAACCATTCATTCAGACAAAATATGTGGAGTTGACTGTTTAAAAACGTAATTGCTAGATCATGTAGGGAACACAAGGTTGTATGAGAGAAATCTTGCCCTCAAATGTGTCAGCCATTAAGCGTCAGATGTCTGCAGTAAAAGACATGCTTTATACTAGGTATAGGAAATTGGTACAAATCAGCTCAGAAAAAGAAAGATCAGTCCTTGTTGGAGTAATCTTAGGGGAGATTTTCATGAAAAAAGGAAAAGAGGAAGTGTAGTATCAGTCTGTGACTGTCAGTCATTAATGGAATAGTGTTTTCTGTTTCTAGGCCTTATTGATTTCATTTTTATTTTTAGAAAACAAATTAAGTGAAGCTTCTGGAGGTAGGGCTGAAAATGGTGAAAGAAGTGATTTGGAAGAGGACATTGAAGGGGAGGGACAGGAAAATGGAGCCATCGATGCTGTTCCTGTTGATGAAAATCTTTTTACTGGGGAAGATTTGGATGAACTAGAAGAAGAATTAAACACACTTGATTTAGAAGAATGACACCAAACAAGTCAATGAAAAAGTTAAGCTGGCTCAGCATGAGTTGAAATAGACTACATTAATTTTTTTTCCACCTAGAATTCTTCAGCAGGATGTTTATTTCCCTTGCTGATTCTGGAGGGCTTACTCTCCTCCAAAAAAGGAATATTCTCCCTACATCTTGTCTTCTGACTTTGGCTGCATCTCATAGTAAGTTCAGAGTAGTTCATGATAAGTTGAAAATATAATGGTCATTGCAGAAGATGATTGATTGCTGTAACTGTCCACTCAAGTAGGAAGTGTAACTGCTTTTCCAACTTGTGATTTTCATTGGGCATGTGTTATTACAAGGACAACATAAATTTAAGTTTAAAATATCCTTCATTTAATGCAGTTTTTAATGAGTGATTTCATTTCCTTTGTATTCATATGTTTAAAAGACTGCCTAAAATATGAGCACTGTCCTTCATAAAGGAAACTGCATATGCAGATTCAGTATTGTTTGTCTTTGGACAATTAGATGGACATATAAAATGAAACTTCTTTAATCTGACAGGATCAGCTGCAATGCCCTGTGTTAAACTGTTTTAAACTTTTTCACCTTCTTTTTTGCCAATAAAGTTGTAAATAAAGACCATCATACATTAAAATCCAAATATGGGCCTTTTTTTTTTTTTTTAAGTTTTTCTATGAAAGTTTTCTTAGCATTTCTAGCTTGAGGATTTTAACTAAATATCTGTTATAGTTAATGATCACAGAAGGCACAGACATTTAGAGGGTTCTCTTAATACTGATTACAGAACTCTGTTGAGTACTGACAGTACTATTGTGAGTTTAATAACGCTAATACCTTGAAAAGAGACTATAAGTGATGTTATGTGAAAGGGTAATTCATGAACTGATAGATCATCAACCTCATTAAATATCAACTACAGTTGAACCAAATACTACTTAGGCATCGTTGTGGAGATCCATGATGTTATAATAGTACATACTAAAGTTTGATTACTCTGAAAGAGTGTAAACAAATCCACCTTTGACATTGTGATACATTTAAAATGGACATAACTTGCTAATGACATGTTTAGTACTAGTTATACTTTTTATCATTTTTATGTAAGTATATTTTCAAATATTAATACAGAAATCTCATTTCTGCCTCAGATAAGTTGTATGATTTTCAAATCTCTGAATCTTAGTTTCTTCGTCTGCAAATAGAAGTTAAAGTGCTTCTGAATTGTAAAACCTAAGAAAACATGATTGTAAATCATGTCAATTGGTAACATCAATGTTGGTAAAGAAATTGACTACCTAGCTGTTCAGTACTAGTACTATAATTGACATTTTTCAAATGTAGATTATCACGAGCCAAGTGTATTTCCCATCTGCAATGAAAGTGTACTTGAATACTTTGTATGTAAAAAAGACTGCTTGAGTTTTGAAGTTTATAACTATCTATGAAACATTTATTCTATTCTTTTTATTAAAAAGTTTTAAATGTTACTTAATGCATTATTTAGTAATGAAACATTTCCAGAATAATCTAAAGAATTTAAATCTTTGGGGCTGGCGCTGTGGTGTAGCGGGTAAGTTTGGTGTGTTCCACTTCAGTGGCCCAGGTTCATAGGTTCAGATCCCAGGTGCAGACCTACACTACTCGTTAGCCATGCTTTGGTGGCAACCCACATATAGAGTAGAGGAAGATTGGCACAGATGTTAGCTCAGGGCTAATCTTCCTCAGCAAAGAAAAAAAAGAATTTAAATTTTTCTAAAGCTATAACCCAAGCAATCTTTTTTTTCTCATTTTTAAAACCATCTAAAACTTTGCTAAGAATTATCTGTTAAAAATTAGAATCTATTTACTTTAGACCCTAAGTCATTTTCTTTTAAATGTATATAAGGTAGGCCTACGTAAACAAAAGTAAGCTAATAAAGGCTTTTTGTTGTTTAATTTAAATTTAAAATATTACTGCCTTACAGCAAATGTGATTTTGAAAACAAATTTTCTTCAATAAGTAAATCAAAGGGGAAACGCTACAGTGTGGAGGTAATTTTTGGTACCTACGATTCTTTAAACCTAGGAAGGCTTTCATTTATCTTACCCTTAGGTTTCTTCCATATAAATGCAATATGTGCTCAGAGAAATGCAATATATGCTCAGAGAATGCAAAACCATTTTAATATGAGAAAATCAAAATGCAAAATTAAATCTGCTTCTAAAATAACATGGTATATTTAGAGGCCAGTAGATATAATTTTTGTATTGTTCACAGTACAGTTACCCTATATTAGTACAGTAAATCTGAACTTGGCTCTTTTTCAAATCCATTTACACATAACTTTAATTTTAATTAGTTTTTTGTTATAAATTGTTCCTTTATATAATTTCCATTGCTAACATAGATCTCTATAATCTAATTTCGGTTATGTGACTTAGCTTCATTATTAAAGATTTGTGGTTTAGAAATTCAGAAATGAATAAGTCTCCTGCAGGAGGGGAACTATTGCTTTGCACTTATTTCCTTATAGTCTGTAAAATGACATAATTTTACCAAATGTAAGAACTTTTCTTTCTTTTTTTTTTCCTTTTTTTTTTTTGTTTTTTGTGTGTGTGTGTATGAGGAAGACCAGCCCTGGGCTAACATCTGATGCCAATCTTCCTCTTTTTTGCTGAGGAAGATTGGCCCTGGGCTAACATCCGTGCCCATCTTCCTCTACTTTATATGGGACACTGCCACAGCACAGCTTGACAAGCGTGCATCGGTGCGTGCCCAGGATCCAAACTGGTGAAGCCTGGGCTGCCGAAGCAGAGTGCACGTACTTAACTGCTGCGCCACTGGGCTGGCCCCAAAAGTAAGAACTTTTCATTTTCTCCTTAATGTCTAGGAGATTACATCAGCCTACATTCTTTTTATCCTATACTTAATAACGATTACAGCCTATAATGATCCCATGTTTGCCAAAATCTAATTCAAAATAGTTAAATTATGAATTTGACCTTTTTTTTGCACAAATGACTTATATGATACTGTAAGCCCACCATGGATGGACTGATATAAAATTGTATAATTGTATTATATATTTTTAATATTTAAATTAGTCAACTCTGACCATTAGTGTGATAGGAATTAAATTACAGGCTCAGACATTTAGGTGTAGCAGATCATTAAGAAAGCATTACATCAGGGCCGGTGCCATGGCATATTGGTTAAGTGTGCGTGCTCCGCTGTCGGCGGCCCGGGTTCAGATCCCGGCCGCGCACCAATGCACAGCTTGTCAGGCCATGCTGTGACAGCATCCCATATAAAGTGGAGGAAGATGGGCACAGATGTTAGCCCAGGGCCAGTCTTCCTCAGCAAAAAAAAAACAGGATGATTGGCATGGATGTTAGCTCAGGGCTGATCTTCCTCACAAAAAAAAAAAAAGCATTGCATCAATCCTCAGGTTTCAACACACAAAGTGGACAGAGGGAGTGTGACAGAAGTTCATATTGATAATGGTATTATGAGTTCCATTCATATTCAGGGTAGTGAACTTTGTATAAAGAGCTTTCAGGATCACAGACTACCCCTTACTCTGTATATTAAGTTCAGGACTGATTCTGATACATAGACTATTATGTTAATGCCTCCAGGTACTTAACACACTGTGTTCATATTGTATGAACTCATATACATGTTGCACTGAATGTATCTCAAGAAATACCAGATGAGAGGATGGACTACCAACATCTTATGTTTTGGGTTTTTGTGTTTTTTTAAGTGTATATTCTACTGGTAATAGTAGTGTTTTCTGAGTAAAGATAACACCTTGTTTCTCAATAAATAAAAGTTACAGAGGTAGAAATTCGTAAAAGCCCACAGCATTTGAACTCTTAAACTAGAATTCAGTGACATCTGCAAATTTCATGACATCTTCAGAAACAAACCTGAATGAAACATTAGTATAAAATGCATTTTCATATCCCCCCATTTTAATGTATGTTTACCCTTTTATTGATAATTGCTTTTTGTTGATGTGCAAAGAAGAGACACAATGACTAGTTTTCATTCATTCAGTTAACAGATATTTTTGTGCCTTTTTACAAATAGGACACTTGTATTAGGCACTATAGATAGCATGAACTGTGACTTAAGATTTGGTCTGTGTCTTATTTGAGTATACATTTTAGAAGGGGACAATCAAAACTACGTAAGGCTATGAAATATGAAACTGGAATATTAAGCACCTAACCATTAATAGGAATGCCTTCTCAGTCAGGCTGTAGGCAAACTTTTCAGTCATTTTGTAATCAAACTTCACTGAGTATTTAGATTTTTTATATATATATAAAAATGTCCTTTGTGAAAATATCGTGATGGACATTGTTCAGGCAAAGGTGGTTATTTTATACTTGGTCCCCAGAGACAGTTCTGTGACAGCCAATGTGGTTTTCACACAGATGTATGTAAAAATTAACTGGTCCTTAGAGACTCAGTACCAGGACTTAGTTTCCTTAGCCCTGTCTAGTTAGCCTTATGCTGTAATTCAAAAGACAATGAATACTTACCACTTTTTTGGCAGTTAATCTTTAGGGTATACCAGTGTTTTCAAAGGAACATACATCAGTTTCATCCCATATGTGCAGCTGTTTCTTCCTATGAATCCTTTAAACTGTATTTTTATTCAAGTCTTAGAGTACTGTGTTTCAGTGGCAAAGGTCATCAGTACTGCGTTACTGCTGTACATATTTTAAGAATCTTGTGATGATGATATATTTAATTGTTATTTATTTTGAGTAGTGTTGCTAATAACTTGACAGCATGTATAGAAATGTAGTATCGAAGAATGTATCTTTGAAAGTATTTGAGTACCTAAAACCTCTCGAGTTAGAAGTGTAGTGTGTAATAATACACTAATTGTGTGGATCACTTCATGATTATGCATTATTGTATATATTGTATATATTTCACTTAAAATTAGAAAAGTTCAGTGTGGGAGAAGTAGAATCCGCTGCATTAGTAGGAATGTTCATCTTTGAATTTTTACTCAGTATTAAATTGATAATGAAAGTAAACTAAATCAGTAACTAAATCATTTTGATAATTTTTTGAATTAATATATGATTGAGAAACCAGTTAATTTGGGAAGATATGCATAACTAAAACAATTGTCACCCATTCATTTGTATGCAAGCTAGCTAGCTAACCTCATTGGTGGCTCACTCCACGGATCGTTTTCTTCTAATATGCTGATTATTAGGTATTCCTACACCTCTTGCACTGATTACCCACCATAGAAGGAAAAGTAAATGTTTAACTTTTATACTTGAGACCTATCTTCCACCCTTGTAGGCAGGAAAATTAATCACTAATAGCTTTAGCCTATTTATCTTCAATAAAGGGTAGGACTAAAAAGAATTATAGAATAATCTAGTTTGAGCTAATCATTGCCATTTTTTTTTCTTTATTTTTTTCCCCCCAAAGCCCCAGTAGATAGTTGTATGTTATAGCTGCACATTCTTCTAGTTGCTGTATGTGGGACACGGCCTCAGCATGGCCGGAGAAGCGGTGTGTCAATGCGCGCCCGGGATCCGAACCCAGGCTGCCAGCATTGGAGCACACGCACTTAACCGCTAAGCCACGGGGCCGGCCCTGCCATTTTTTAATTACTTTATAG